TGTTCCATCTCGTTTCCCTTTGGGGTTGCTGTAGGTGATCCAGAAGTCTGTTTTTGAGGCTTGTTTACATGTCTTCTCATTTCCACTGGGGGTGGGTGCTTCTGCCACCCGCGCGGCTCACCTTTTCTGCCCTAGGAGCTTGGGATGGCAGCAGGGAACTTCCTTCTAGGTGCTGGGACCGGCTCAGCTTCTCTGACCTAGGAGCTTGGGATGGCGGTGGGGGAGCTTCCTTCTGGGTTCTGGGACCCTCCATTTTTGGTTTTTGGATGATAAGCATCCCTTTATTTGCTGACTGCCATTACAAAAACTGTTTACATTAGCAATAAAAGTGTCTTGAGTTGATGTCAGGGCAGTTATTTCCCCAAAGTGTTAAGTAAATCATTGTACAACATCAGTATTAACATGTTGAGGTCCAGAGAGGTTTGGCTTATCATAAGGTGAGTTAAATGAGCTCCAAATCTTATTTTTTTCGTTTCACCTCATTTTGCATCTATTCTTAATCTTAGTCTAGGGTTCTGTGCACAATGTCTGAACTATTATTTTTGACAAAAAGGAAAAATATTCAATTATGTGATATAACATGGCTGGCAGTACAGTGTAAAGGATCGTGATCCAAGACCTTGCTAAGAGAGAAAGTGAGGCTGCTTGATTGACATGTTGTAGCAATACTTCACTCTCCTGGGGGCATTTGGGGAGAAGGAGAACAAGCCTATTACCTCCTAGACTGCAGTAGAGAAACTGCCTCGGAGTCCTGCAAGAGAAAACAACACTTCATAATGGAACAACCCTCTAAAAAAAGACGTAACGGACTGATACAGAATTTGTAAGACACTTACTTGCTCTTTTGGGATGTCAACTGCTGGCCTAAGCAGACCACATTTCTGGCCTGTTCTTGGTACAATCTTATTTTCCCCCCAGGGCTTTTAGCAAATTAAGAGGGTTTTTTTGCAGTTTGTTGTCCACTGTGATATGTACACCCTAAACTTTGAAAAACCTTTGTTGAAGCATTCTTGGAATATTCAACTCTTCTCGCTTTAAGATAGCTACTAGGGAAGGTCTGTAAAAGCACATGGAAGTCTGCCAAATAGATGGAGCTCAACATCAAAGGGCACACTTGGAGTTGTAGTGCAGGTGATTCCAGGAAGCTTAGTTAGGCAGAGTGAATGTTCTTGAATTTGCATTTGTCAAAGAAAGGAGTAGTTATGTACTGTTGTAACACCAAGATACAGATTAGCATTTATATATATATCTCCTCAGCTTTTACCCAGCTGGCTCATCTTGAAAGGCCAGATGGCTCATCTTGAAAGGAAACATCTTCTTAGCTTCACTTCCTTTTTTTGACCATCCAAATGACTTTTAAATAGTTTTAGTTTACTCTGCGTGTGTATACCTTTGCTGGAGGTGTTTGGGGTATTTTTATCTGCTTACAAAATCTGGAAACCATGACAGGATAGTCTATCCCATTATTATCATCAGAGATGAGCAGTTCCTATCTCTGTTGCCCAAATGCAATTTGATACAGAGTACAGGGACTTATGGAAACACATGGCTAAGTTCAAATAAAAAGAAGGTCACTAAAGGAAGAGAAGCATGATAAATGAATTTATGTTTTCACTACTCAGACCGACATGATACTATACATTTACTTTCTTTTTGAAGGATCAGATTTTACTTATTGGAGTAGGCATTCCCCCAATGTCTCATAATTCTGAATTGTGTGTTCAGCACTCAGTCTACACTCTTTCACCCTACCTTGTCCTAGCAATTCTCTTTTTCAGTTCTATTACTCTGCAGGCTGTCATTTGTGTCAACTCTGCATCTCAAAGTTGAAACCAAAGCTCACCTGAAGGATCATCAGTGGAATATGGAGGCCAAGTTGAAATTCTAGATTGAGAAAGGTCTTCATAGATCATCTGGTCATTTTAGGCCAACTGGGACAACTATTGCTATGCATTACCCAGATCTCCCTTTGAAACACAACCTACCTTGAGAAGTTAAGGTAACTGACAACCTCCAGCTTCTGGTGCCTTCAGGATCTACCTCAGCCTTCAAGAGGAAAGGTGTGCTTCCTGAGCAGCTGAGAAAAGTGGGAATGTAATGGCTTGCTATTTGGGACAGAAGAGGGGTCCTTTATGTACAGTCTTTGCATTGGAACACCCAGTTGTGAAGGCCAAGACTCTCTGAGATCTACACAACAGTCTGAGGGTCTTTCTACCCGACTTCCTTCCTTTTCCTCTCCTTCTGCGGTATCAGACCTGCATTATGGTCTGAAGCTCTTTACCTACTCACGTCTCTCAGAAGTATTTTCTTTCATAAGTATTGCTCCTAATAAATGTCTTGTGCACTATTTCTGTCTTAGCATGTACTTTCAAAGGACTCAAACATTCTGATACCCAGTTCAATGTTCTTTCTCAAACTTTAGTCAACCATGTACAACCACTACCACTTTTTGTAGAATTGTACAGGAAAACAGATTTGGATATATATTTTCATCACTCATGCTATTGTTTACTTCATTAAAAAATTGTTTCACTTCTGTTGAATCTCTAGTTGTGTATGAGGTAATAATATCTGTAAACTTTTGATTTTGATGTACTAGTTTTATAGTTTTCTAATATATATTAAAGAAATATGTTACTGTTAAAATAAGTTTGTGGGGATATTACCTAAAATCATCTCATGTACTGTCAGTAATAGTTCAACCACTCATTTATAACATTATGACTATGCTATATACTTTGATGCTTTCTAGGATACATAAAGCAGAGAAAGGGGAAATAGATGAAGGAGAAAAGGGTGAAGGAGAGCAGACTATGTATGGGTGAGGAAAGAATAATTGAAAGTCATCAATAGCAGCCTCAGGTGCCTTATTGTGACATTAATACTTTTTGCCCAGCCCTAGTCTAGCCTCCATTGAGTCAAAACATCCTTCATAAGTTGCCTAAAACCAAATTGAATATATTCAGATGTGAATTAAGAATCAAGATTTCTCCTGCTAAAAGTGTTTATTCATTTATCCCCAAAATGGACTGAAGTGCTCCACTTTGAGTAGACTGTTGAAGAAATAATTTGAAAGCAGTGGCTCTAATCCACATCTTATCAAGTGTTTGAATGTACATACTTTCACATAAAAGATTTAAGTAACATTTCCTTTCTCATTTTAAAATATTTATTATTAAAACAAAATAAGGTACTTACTTTAACTTAAGAAAACTAAGACTATAATTACAGTAATCTTTCACCTTTGTTGCTATACTTCTGGTTTAAGAGCATTATAATGATCATGATTCTGTTGTGCTAATGAAAAAAATTGAGGTTAGAGCTCATGCTATATAAGAATTTAATAGATTCTTAGTATTACAGTGATAATTTAATATTTCTCTTTCTACGAAGACAGTATTATTTAGAACCTTTGCCAAACAGATATTACTAATTTGGAAGCCATTTTGTTAATTTATAAACAAATTATCCTTTCAGATAAAGAAGAGGTAGGAAATAACTTTAATGAAGCACTAGCTTTTAGAATATCACAAATTTTAAAGACGCAGGGAATTTGAAGGTTGCGATCCAAGTTATATTTTATGTAAATAGGAAGGCACCTTTACACTTTGACAGTGGCACTTAATGTACCATGTTGAAACCTACTCTGGCATCTGGTTTTGGAAAGATTTGGTAGTAGTCTTTTTCTAAAAGGACAAATCCAGTTGTGATGTGTACATACAATTGGATCAGTTGAGTAGGAGTCAGTTTTCTGTGTTGTCTGTCCCTTGATTTACATTTCAAACCTGATTAAAATAGTTTAAATTCAAATCCAAATTGAATGTAAGAATAATAAAATGAGGAATCATATGCAATAATTTTTAGGTAACAAATGAACATAGTTTCACAGCTAAAATAAAGGCAACATAATTGAAAATAAAGCTATTACATACAGGTTTTGGTATTTACTAAACTCATTTCTCTAAGCTTCTAGAAAATACATTAGGTACTTCATGTATTTCCTTTTTGGATTACGGATGACAAAAACAAAATAGAATATATTGTATATTGCCTAGGGAGACTAAAGTGCTTGTTCTTACCAGGTTAGCAAGCATGTAGTGATAACCTCTTGAATGTTTCCCCAGGATCACAACCTAGAGAAAGAAGAAATGAGAAATATTGCTTATTCAAGAAGGGCACATTCAGCTGCAAAATCAGCAGGATGACTAGAACAAATGCTTTTAAATGATCAACAAAGTGTTAGGTCTTTCATATACAGTAAAATGACAGTTAATTGGACATGTTTCTTTTGTTGTATTTTGCTTTCAGTCAGATAAAATAGGAAGAATTGCTAATATCAAAGTTAGAATGTCAAAAGGGGGAAAGGGGTTCTCTGCACTTCCAGGTCAGTAGCATCACTGTCACTTAAAATAGATAGCAAAAGCGATGAAGCTGAAGATCCCCCACCCATGAACTGGATTTCTGTACTCATCTGTTGAGATGGAAAATGAGCTGAACTTTGCATACAAGTCAGAAAATAGAATGTACAGTACATTTTTGTTATCTGGAATGCTTAGGGAATAGAACACTCAAAGAATGGGGTTAATGGGATTTTTAGGTTAACTGAGGTTGCTTTTGCTTATTGAAAACCTTTCTAAAATGCTTGCCTTCCTTTTCTTGCCTTAATATGAAAGACTTGTGACCATTTGCATGTCTTTTTCACGATGCCTTCAGGCAGTCAAGAGGGTTTCCCTTGGGGGAAATTTGATGATGCCTGGTGACATTTTGGTAGTCACAACAGGGACATGTGCTAATAGTGTCTAGTGGGTAGGAGCTAAGGATGCTGTTAGATATTCTCCAATGTTCAGAATAGTTCCCACAACTAAGAGTTATCTAGTCAAAAACGTCACTGGTGCCAAGGCTGAGAAACCATTCCTCAGGCTCATCATTCGTATAATTTTCATGAGTATCACTGCATTATTACTAAGCCTTACAGTTTGCAAAGTGCATTTATATGATATCAAAATAGGTATGTGGGCTGAATATTTTCCAACCAAATACATTGGTTCAAAGTTTTTGACTGAATACCTGTTTTCAGGTTCATTGACTGGTAACAAAGTATGGCATACATTCTGGTTAATTAAAGATTTCATAAAATACTTTATTGACCACTAACTATATGCAAGGTACTCTACTAGATGCAGGTGGTAGCAACAGGGAAAGGGATGCTATACAGGTTAAAAACACAATTAGAGCTAGAATCATTTTTTTTTTTGTACCAGAGATCGAACTTGGGACCTTGCGCTTGCCAGGCAGGTGCCGGAACCACTGAGCTAAATCCCCTGCCCTAGAACCATGTTTTATACTGGCTTGAAGCTAATAAAATTTTAGGGTCTTTCTTTAAGAAAAATAAGACAAAATTATGAATACAATATTTGGGACAAGGCTTTGGGAAGAAGTCATGGAAGTAAAGGGCCATTAATCCCCATCGTGATCAATTCCTCACTGGACACCCTGGATGTAGCTGTCAAAGGGTTTAAAAACAACTTGGAAAGACACTAGAAACTCACATATATCAAACCAGAATTATATATGAGGCTATAACAAAATAAATGCAACTTTCCTTATGTGAGCACCTAGTATATTCCAGACAATGTACTAGGTTCTACATATGTATTTAATCCCTAGAAAAATGTAATAGTCTCATTTTTTACATAAAGATTGCAGGGGCCTCGGGTTGTGTCTCAGTAGTTTAATATTTGCCTAGTATGCAATTCAATTCAATCCTCAATGTCCTCAATTCAATCTTCAGCACCACAATAAAATAATATAAAAATAAAGTTGCATGGGTTTTAATGTACTTAGTTAAGTCTAAATAGCCCAGTCTTAAATTCATTTTTAAAAAAGAAATCTTAGCCCAAAGAGTTTAAATAATTTGCCTAGGGCCTAGGAAGTGCTATAGCTGGAATTAGAGACTGGGTCTCTCTGTCTCTGTAATGGATACTCTTGACAGTACAATCAAAATCTCCTCATCTTTGGGTTCTACTTCCAGAAATTCAATCAAAAACAGATAGAAAATATCTAAAAATTGTGTTTGCACTGAACATGTACACACTCGTTTTCAACATGTCCACACACTTTCAACATGTGCACACATGTACACACTTTTTTTCTCATCAGTATTTTCCTAAGCAATATAGTATAACAACTATTTACATAACATTTATATTATATTAGATATTATAAGTAATCCAGAGGTGATTTAAAACATACAGAAGGATGTGTGTAGGTTGTATGTAAATATCACTCTATTTTACATGAGGGACTTAAGCATCTGAGGATTTTGGTAACTACGAGGTAGGGGATAGGATGTCCTTGACTCAGTCTTTTAAAGGATGACATGGTTTCTAAATACAGATGGTCCCCAACTCATAATGGTTTGCCTTATGATATTTTTACTTTTTGATGTTGTGAAAGCAATATGCACTCAGTAGAAACTGTGCTTTAATGCATATTAAGTCTCACTTAACAATAGGGAAATGGAAGCTCAGGAAGGTTTTCCACTTTCAATATAGAATTCAATAAATTGCATGAGATATTTAAGACTTTACTGTAATATAGGCTTTATGCTTGATGATTTTGCCCAGCTGTATACCAATTAAGTGTTCTGAGCACAGTTGAGCTCCTTCAGGCTAAACTATGATTTCCAGTAGTTTAGGCGTATTGAACATATTTTGATTTATGATATTTTCCACTGACAAGGTGTTTATTAGGATGTAACTCCATCATAAGTAGAGAAGCATCTGTATGTGCTGAATGCCAAATGCCAACAATTGCTCTAAGATCTTGGAGGAGAGGAAGAACAGGTGCTTAAGACCTGAGATGGCCAAGGGAGGCCTCATGGAAAAGACAAAGATTAAGCTGGTTCAGAGAAGTGGAACAATAGATTTAAATATGCTTATCATGCTGACATAGTGAGAGAGAGAGAGAGAATATGAGAGAATTGTTTTTGATTAATTTAAAATATGAGCCACATTTCTAACTGATTATTTATGAAGGAAATAAAAGGTTAATGAATATCTTGAGGAGGTGATTTCTCATGCTGCCATGACACAAAATGAGCTGTTAGATATCTTCTGGGATGTATACTTCAGTGTCCGCTTGTGAGAAACATTCTTGCTGGTGACATTTGTTAACTTTTGCTGGCAAGTTGGGACCATATATTTGCTGAATTTTTAATTCACTGACAACCCTCAATATAATAAAACCAAGAGGGTTTTGAGTTCCACCAGAAAAATAAGCAATATTCCTAAGGACATGTGATAAGATTAGAGAGAACTAAGGAAGGAAGCTCAAAGGAAACCAGTAAGTCTTTCTCACCAGAGGCAAGGCTTAGCTTCCTTGAGAGCACAGGGAAGGCAAGAGGAAGCAGTGGAGAATGGTAGCGTTGTTAAAGGAGCCCGATGGCAATTATCTCAACTTTGCTGAGCCTCCATTTCTGTATCTATAACCTGGCCCTTGACATCTTAGCTCGAACTACAGAAGTGTTTGATTATGTGTGTAATGCTGTATTCCTCTGTGAAGGGGTCATTTATTAAGATGTTTTTTCTAGGTTCAGAAAAACTTCAAGCCATTAGAATACCTGCTTCCATATCCATGCCCAAAAGGCTGCTTGCAACAAAATGACTTATTTGAATGCAACTATCTCACACCATCACTCTTTCAAAACTTAGCCTTAAAGGGGAAGAGATAGCAAAGTTATCTAAAGATAGGAGCATTTAGATGTCACAAAGCTGTTGCACTGAAGCCTGTAATTAATTCCTCATCCTCGCTTTCAGTATTGTCTCAACTCTTATTTAACATACAATTCTTACCAATCTCAGTTTTCTAGTTCACAGTAAATTAAATGCTGCAAACTAGAAGGGGTACATAGGGAGGCAGGGAGTGATATTAGAAAGAGGTACATTAGTATCAGAGGAAATGACAGACTGACTTACAGGAGAAGGGAGGGACAAAAAGAAGCAGACAACATTGTACCATGCACAGTATAATCATGGAAGCTTGTTGTGAATGCTTGAGTCATCGGGCTGTGGTTGTTTTCAGTGGTCTCTACTGAAAAACCCAAGGATGTGTATCATGTTTTAGGGAACGTTTCCATCAGGAATGCTCTCCCAGTACTTAAGAGGGTAAATTTCAGTTATCTTGAAATCTTACTTGTGTTGGGCAGCTATAATCCTACTGCTGTGAGCTCATTGTTAAAAGTGCCACGTTTTGTTCTTGGCCTTTCCCTTTTATATAATTTTTGCTACAAGGTCCATGGAAATAGGATGGAACGGGAAGGTTGTATGTAGTACTGTGTACAAAAGAACTGTGAAGTTAATAGAAGTGGTTCTTGTTCAGTTAGTCCTAAATCTTTATTCTTTCCATCTGTTACAGATGAACAAGGCATAAATTGTATTCTTGGTTATTTAATGACTCTGGTAATCATGAGAATATTCAATGTTGCTTTTACAGTAATTATAATAATGCTTTCTGAATTAGTTTCAGCACTTCGAATATAAAAGCTGTTTTTCCAGTCGACTGAAACTTAAAGAAAAAATACCAAGTTTGCAAATCCATGTACTATTCACTTTGCCTTTGTAAGATTTGCTGGAGATGATAGATAACTTGATGTGATGGCAGATATGATAAATGTAATAAGGGGTAATATGTGAAATGCAGATGAAATTCACTAATCTAAGGAAATTTATTTTTATCCTCAGATCATCTGAAAGAAAAAAAAGAACATCACAATCCTCATTCACTGAAGCTTAAACAGCAGTTTCCTCTGCAGAGGAAAGAGTTCTTACATACTAACACACTGAGGCTTGCAGATGGTATCAAGTTATGTGTCCGAGAAGTCAGTGAATTATAGACTACCCATTTGGGGGAGACTTCCCTTTACTGACCCTCCTCAACCCCTTCCCTATGAAACTGAGAGTTGACTATTATTGGGCAGTTAAAAATAATTTATAAAATACTCAGTTGGTTTTCTCTGTAAGAGGACCTTCTTTCTCCATTTAATGTTTAATCTATACATTTTCATAATTTTAGAAATTGGAAATGAAACTGCTCCACAAGACTACTTGAGAGAGGCCCATAGATCCTTTGGGAG